GGTCAACACCTGATTGATATAGAATTGCATTTGTTACCTTCTGTAAAACATTTAAATCACAGACTGTGGCAGTAAGAGAAACATTACCAGCAAAAATATCTTTTGGATTTTTTGAAATTACTGTGTCTGGGTTTTCAGAAACTTCTATATGATACCAATCGCCTGGATCAAAATCAGATTCAATTGAAGAATCCTCTCTTAGATCTGTGTCTATAAGTTCTACCTTGGGTATAACATCTCCCAAACTTATAGGCTGTGAACAGTTTTTCTTCCTTATACTTTCTTTTGCCTAATTTATAGAAATGTTTTAGTATTAGTTTTTAATTTTAGAATTGGTGGAAAAAAGAATGAAGTAATAGAGATTAAACCAAAGCTTAAGCAGTTAACTAAAAGCATTGAATACCTTTTTTTTATACTTAATATCTTCTGAACCAATAACAAACTTTCTTTGACTTTCTTGATCTTCAAGAAATTTTAAATCTTCAATATTATTTTAAAAACAGGAGCAATTCTCTTGATGTCAACCAGGGTAATCAAAAATTCAGCTTTTTTGATTGATAATACTATTACAGAAGATATATTTGACAAAGATGTTCAAACAGGTATCCTAAAACCGGATGTTTCCATTCATTTTCCAATATTTTTGTAATACTAAATCAAACACAATTTTTTACCTAACTAATATAAATAAGCCTAAAAACAAATTATCACTCTGGATGCATATAAATATTTTAAATCCTAAATTTTTTAGTACAGATAGATGATTGCATTGCTTCTAACGTATCATCTTCTGAACTATCTTTTCAATAGTTTGAAACAGCTTGCAAATCTCTTAAAAAAGATAAATCAAGTGGAGTTAAAATGTTTTGAAAACTAAAACAAAGTTTTAAAGTTTAAATTAATTAACTAAGAAGTTTTTCTTGAACAATTGACCCTTTATTTCCCAGTAATGCTATTTGGCGTCGTTGACATAAAAGGTTTAAAAAAAAAAGCAATATTTGAACCCCGTCAGGTGATCACTGTAAAACCCTAGGAGGAGATCAATGTGTTTTCGTGTAAATAAAGTGTCAACCTAGCAGCTTTTCTTTTAAAACCATGACTACAATAAAGCCACGTGTATATAAATGGAAAAAACCTGAACCAATCATTTCACCATTGCAATATTTTGATATGTTTGTTCCAGATAATCTATTAGAATCTTTATAGCAAAAATCTTTACATCAAAAAATCTCAAGAGTGTTGATACAAATATGGATGAAATAAAAACTTTACTTGGGATGCAAATTCTCATGGGTATCATTAAAGTGCTATTGTTTCTTAACTATTGGTTACGAATTCTATGGAAGGTTGTGGAAGTCTATGTTATCCAGCAATTGCAAATGCTGCATCTCAAAACCTGTTTAAATTACTAAAAAGGTTTATTTATTTTTTAGATAACAATTTGAAACATGTTAATGATACAAAACCAATATGTAAAAAGTGGTGCTGAAGAGTACCATTTAGTTGACAAACAAACTATACCTTCCAAAACCAAATACTCTAAAATTTAGACCAGAAAGAATAAAATTAACTATTCCTAGTTTAAATCATTGGGCTTTACTATCCAGTGATAAAAATAAATGTCGGTTGTGCCAACAGAATTGTCGCATCATTTGTGAAAAGTGTAATATTTATTTGTGGTTGTTACAAAACTAATAACTTCTCCTTAACTTGTTATTGTAATAGTAACAAAAATTATATAGAATATATAATTTTTTTTATTTTCAAATGTAAAGATTTGGTAATCTTTAAAAACTAGTTAATTTTATGTTTAAATTTCGCTGAATTTTATGGCTTTTCCTACCCAATGATGCGATATGGTATCATACCCAAATTTTCCCAACTAAACTTCCAAACTCAAATTTTTTATAAAAAACTGTTTTTAAGTAATGTATTTGAAAATATTTTCATTAAACGATATTTCACACCATTTTTTGTCGAAATGAAAATTCCCTATATATGTTGTGTATTCTCTCTGTTCTTAATGTTTTATGTTTTATGCTTTATGTATATGTGGAAAAATGATTTATCTTTATCCATTTTTAAAGATTTTTTTATGCGAAACCAATAAATAAATATATACTTAGAAATAATAACATAGTCAGGTACTTTTAATTGTAAGCATTTTTTTTTGTTTAGAACTTTTATCGGAAAATACATCTTGTTTTATTTGTTTATTTACTGAGGTGTTTTATATACAAATGCTTGTTAAAGTTTTGACGATAAAATCAAAAACAATTGTTTTTCATAAACCTTTGTTATGTAAAAGTAATTTATTTACTATGACAACAAGTTTAAACTCAAAAAAAAATAACTCTTTTGCCCAGTTATTCGATTATATTAGAATGAAGTCTTAAGAAGTAATTTTTAAAGAATTTGTTTCTTAAGAAGTTGTGTTTCCTAAGTACTTATAAAGGGAACTTAAGTTAACTTAAGCACTTTAAACTTTAAAAGTAGTTCAAGTAGTTTTTTTAAAAATCTGCTGCCGTTGTATTTAAAATCAATTTTTTAGATTTTTTTATTGAAATCACATTTTTTAAATTTGAAAAAAAGAATAACAACTATTATTTTATGAACAACCATTAATAATATTTGATAAAACAATAAAAATAATATCTAATACAGAACAATAAAAACCAATAAGTTTATCGTTTTTTAGAGTTAAATATTTTTGTTCGCATAAGATAGACAATACAAATATGCTACTAATATTTTAAAAAATGAACTTGAAAATATGAAATAAAATTAAAAAAAAATCATTATAAAATAAATATAATCACTTCAGAGTTTAAAATATTTTTTATACAGAAATAAAAATAGTTTTAAGTTTCACTTTTATTACAGCTATAAATTCCGAACCCTCTCTTCCAAACCCTTTCTTCCGAACTCTATACAAATCTCTAACAATATGGATTTTAAGTTAAATCTATACAAAATGAAAAACATATTTTTTGGAGGGCATAGAGTTACAATTTGGATTCTCACATTGCATCATTTAAAACTTTTTTCGTTTTTGCATATAATAACTTCTTTTAGATTTAAGTTTTTTTTCATTTTTAGTAGGATTTTCAATGTCATTGAGCGTTGAAGGTTTTTGCATTTGCATTTGTTTATTTGAGTTGCTGGTTTTTTATTTTTGTTTTTTTACTTCTAAAATAATTATTAACATTGTGTTCTGCAATATTAACATTGTGTTTTGCAATAAGGGCCTAAAAATAATTTGAATATTAGATTGCCTAAAAATTTTTATATGAAACATTGTTTTAAAAAAAACTATTCATTTAGTTTTCCACTTTTTCTTTTTTTTTCCTTGTGTAACGCAATATACTTGTCGAAATCATCAAGGCTCCAGTGGCTTATTCAAAAAATGATTGTAGAGGTTGTGTAACTGGAATTGGGTTGATGATATACCTAATACATGCTGATTGATGCTATTTTCGTTGAGTGCAAATAAATCAGTATATTAAAAACCAGCGAAAGCGCGAAAAAATGCAATATTGCCTGCTGAACAATGCTGGAAAAAAAACTTTTTCAGAAAAAGTTTTTGCGTATTGTATCTTTATTAATTAAAGCTACCACCAGCCATATTTACGAGGTAGAAATGAGACGTGAACTTTCTAATTTAATACTTTTCCACGGTGCCCTGCGACAAGACCGTTAGGCCTTTATGGTGCAATCAAATTAAAAAAACCCGCTAAATTATCTTGAGTTTGTAAAATATACATTGAACAAAATTCAATAAAATCATAAAATTTTGCTAGTTTTTCTCAGAAGTCAGTTGTTGAGTCTGATTCTTTTGAATCATTGTTTTTGGAACCTGTTTGTTTAAAGAATGGAATGCTGTATTTGAATGCAACTGATTAGAGTATTTTTTTTCTTTATATATTAACTTTCTATATATAGCTTCTTCACTTTGTGATATCTTAAATTTTGGTATTTTAAATATAAATAACTAATAAATATTTTTAATAAATACACTTTTGTAGAATAACATACTAACGTAAACGTATTTAATTAATTTACGTTTATTTCTAATTAGGTACCTAATTATATATACCTAGTTATATATACCTAGGTATATATTAACTCAAGTAGAATTTAAATAATAGCTCAAGTAGAATTTAGAATTTATATCAGAATAGAATTTTTATTAAAGAATAACTCAAGTAGAATTTAAAATAGTTTATTTGAATGAAAAATCTTTATTTTTTCTGGTATTTTTTTAAAAAAAATTTCACTATTAAGATTAAAAATAAATTTATTAAAAAAATATAAGGTTTCAAATTGAAAATAGTAACAAAGAAAATTCACGAGTTTTTTTGAAATTTCTTATTAAAACAGAAAACGAAAGAAAGGAAATTAATATTACAATTGTTTTGACATATTTTAATAAAGAGTAAAGTTATCTTTATGGTGTTGTTTTCATTATTCAAAAATCGTTATTTTTTATTGTACGATCAGTAATTAAAAAAACATTGTATTCAGTTTGCACCAGTCACACCACCCACACCACCACACCATTCTTTCAACTGATTTAACTCCAGTTTTAAAAAAATATTTGTTTGTAACGAGTAAACATTCAAGACACGATTCAAATTACTGGAGTGGAGTGGAGTGGGATTTCGACTAGGTAAGATTGTTGGGCTTCAGGTCTGTTTTAGCCTAAAATGAAAAATATTACACACGCAAAAAAAGAAGTATGATTGTTATTACAGAGAGTTATATACTGAGAGTGTCTAAACGTGTGCACCAAAAAGGCTGATTTTTGTCCTTTAGACGTCGCAAGTCCGTCATACAGACTTGTGACGTCTATAGGACGTCGTATAGACGTCCGGACATCGACGCGGACATCTGTGCCTGCTTGCTTCTGACATAAAATACATAACAGATACAAGTTTTGAATATCAGTATTCTTTAAACTATTATGCATTTATTTACCTATAAAATCAAAAAAAACTCACCTGCGTTATTGCAAACACTGCCGAAACCTCCAGTCAAACACTGGCATAAGTTCGGGCTTCGACAAATACCAAATCCACACGGATTTCTGCATGTTGGGACTGTGCACAACCGTGTCGAAGGATTTAATGACCATCCAGGACAGCATTCAAATCCTCCAAAGCATTTATTAGGGCTAAAGTGATTTTTAAATTGTTTAAAATAAAAGCAAACTTTAATTTAGAAACTTCTTTTTAAAAAAACTATTTGCTTTTTAGTTGTTTAGAGACTTTTAAAAAAAAAATTTTACCCAGAATTTAAAGATGGTTTAGGAAAAAATCGTTGTGATGTATCTTGTCTTGGATACTCTATCCCGTATTCGTTCCAACCCTTTTGCGAATCGGTGTTAAACTGGTTTAATATCACACTTTTGCATAGCAAAAATATTACTACGCAAGTCAAATAAAGGTGAAACATCACAAATAGATTATAGATATCTTTGGTCTGTAAAGTAAAGAGTTCATGCAAAATAAAACTTCTCTATTAGCTTCCAAAGATGACGAATCTATAATGGCAAATATTTTTTAGACTTATTTTTTGAAATTATCAGTAAATTGAAACCCGATAAAGGTCTATATGATAACAGCGAAAAAAGCAGTTACGATTTATATAGACTGTGTAGTTATGAAAGGAATTTATATTTATTTTAAGAAATTACAACATCTTTATATATAATAAATATATATAACCCTCTAAGTTATATAGTATTTTGATATTTGTATCGATTGCGATTATACACAAAGTTTTAGGTTTAAACTTTGTACCTCCAACTCGTAATAACTGTTAAATGAATATATATATATATATATATATATATATGTATATATATATATATATTATATATATATATATATATATATTAGCATGCACCTTAATGTCTTTTATATATGATAAAATCACACTGTATTAAAAAGTTTTTTAAGGGTGCCTCAAGACCCTTGAATATTTAATGGGTTCCTAATATTAATAATATTAATAAAATTCCTAATAATAAAGGTTTTTAAAAAGTATGTCTTGTTGGGTCTCAGGTGAAGCTAAATTATATAAAAATTTCAAAAATAATAATTAATTTATAAAAACATCATATTAAAAAAATTTTAATTAAAAACTGCGTAAAAGAACACTTTTTTCATTTTTAGTTAAATCGCTATTCAGAACAACTTCTTTTTTTAAATTTGTTATTATTTTTGAAATTTTTATGTAATTTTGTACCATTTGAGCAAGATTACTTTTAAAAAACTTTATATATACATATATATATATATATATATATATATATATATATATATATATATATATATATATATATTTATATATATATATATATATATATATATATATATATATATATATATATATATATATATATACAGTTGCGTAGGAAGGTTTTTAAGTGTTTGAAATAACCAACTTTTAAACAAAAGAATATTCCAAATTATTTTACGTTCATATGTATGACGAAAAGATTCTTCACAAACAAAATTACAGTGGTAGAGAGAATGGGAACAAAAAATCCTAAAATCTTAGCCCCACCCC